GCACGACGATGCGATTCTTGAGGGCTTCGGAGCGGCAGTCCCAGGGCACGATCAGTGCTTGCATCTCCTGCTACCCCGCCCCGGGCGCGGCTCAGACTTGTCCGTCAGCACGCGCTCGACCTGGCGCGTGACCACGCGCCCGAAGAGCTCAACCAGATGCACGGCGAGTTAGCGGACCTACCACCAGAGCTGGCCGCGCAGCGCCGCCAGTGGGTCCATCGACTGATCCACCGCCTCGCTCCAGGCCGCAGCTGCGCGACCTTCGCGGTCTTGGACCAGCAGGGCCACGCGACCGCCGACCCATCGGCGATGGCTTCCACCCTGCGGGACCATTGGTCGAAGGTCTTCGCGGCCCAAGACACCGACGCCGACTCGCGCGCGCGCTGGTTGCGCGAGGAGGCGGAGCACGCCCCGCCAGAAGAGGCGAGGCACCGGCCCTTCGCCAAGTCTTCCCGGGAGCATTTCAAGAAAGCCCTCCACCTCAAAGAGTGGCGCCCCGGGCCCAGAAGGCATTGCATTCCGGGCGTGGCGCAAGCTTGGCGATTTAGGGGCCGACGTCCTTTACGAGGCTTTCTGCGCCCTCACCGCCGACGCTACGCTGGAGACGCTTGACAGGGACTGGCGCGCCTTCAACGCGAGCCTCCTGGTCTGCCTGCCAAAGAAGCCCTCCGGCGAGACAGAGGACGGCATCCTGGCTCACGAAGCGCCCAGCACCAGGCCGCTCAACATCACAAAAGCTGACAACCGGCTTATCTGCAGCGCTGTCCGGCTCTGCATTGAACCGCAGATTGCCCCGGGGATAGCGGGCGAGCAGCGGGGCTTCATCAACCGGCGCTCGATGCTCGCCAACGTCGTTAACGTGGAGGCCGCGATGTTAGAGCACGAATTTGCTTCGCCAGCGGCCGCCGCGGTGTTCTTCGATTTCGAGGCCGCCTTCCCGAGCGTCTCGCACAACTTGTTGCGCGATGTCCTCGCAGCTTAAAGGGTGGCCGCCTTGGATGCGCACGTTCGTGGCTGGATTATATTGGAACAATACCTGCAATATCTCTTTGGGCGGCCATCGGCACGACGGGTTCACGCTTTCTTCTGGGGTTCGCCAAAGCTGCCCCCTCCCTCCGCTTCTCTTCGCGGTTGTCTCGGACGTTCTCTTTCGGCGTATACTGCGACCGGCTCCGCTTGTCACGCTTCGGGCACGCGCGGGCGACGTCGCCGTCGTGCTCCCGAACGCACTCACCGTGGCCGGCATCCTGGAGCGCATTTTCACCGAGTACCGCGCCATTTCCGGTTTGCGGCTGCACCGCGGGAAGACAGCGCGGGCCCCCCTCGCGCTTCAAGACGAGATCGACGTTCGGAACGACCTCCACCGACAGGTACGCCTCTGGAGCGACTTTGCCATCCAACGGCGCGCCACCGACCTTGGATTTTGCATGCGACCGGGCAGGGGAAATCGATCCTGGGCGAAGGCGGTCGCCAAGTTTCAGGAGCGGGCCCAGCTGTGGCAGCAAGTCGGACGCGACCCTTTCAACGCCATTCTCGCTTACAGGATCTACATCGCACCCGTCCTCTGCTTCCTCGCGCAGCTATTGAACCTTCCAAGCGATTGGGATGACATCGAGCGTAAGGTGTGCAGAACGCTCTTCAGGGGCCCCAGGGTATGGACCTCCCCGTGCATGCTCCGCAACCTCTGGCTGCTGGGCTTCCCGGCTGAGCTACCTAACTTGCTCGACATCGCTACTGCCGCGAAGCGCCGGGTGGTCAGGTGGGAGAACGAAGGCCAGGGCGGCTTAGACATCGCGCGTCGCCACTGGGAGCTGGAACGCATTGACGGCGACAGCTCATTTATACATCGCTTGGCTAGCTGGCGCGCGTGGCTAGACACCGACGTTCTTACGAACCTGACGCGCGCGCACCAGACTGCAGCAGGCAGCCCGGAACAGGTCCCTCACTGTCTGCGCCCTGCTCCCTGGGAACTCGCCTCGCGACGTGGGCCGGAAGGACTGGCAGAAGACGGTCGTCTTCCACCGTGGGGCCGATGAGCGGGACTTGATTTATCGTGAGCTCCGCCGGCACATGGACCATTTCCCCCTCCTCCTCCTCCCTGGACGCCGAGTTGATCGCGCAGTCAGGCCCCTGCGCGGTATTGCCCAAGATGTCCCTCCCAGCGTATGGTTTGCCACGTTCCGCGCGCTGTGCAACGGCTGGGTCACCAGTAGTCGTTTCGGAGATACCGGCGCCTGCATTTTCGGATGCGGTCACCACCAGGATTCCCTGCGACATTGCGCGACGTGCCCGGTATCGTTGGACTTCGCCAAGCGGAAGTTTGGTCTCCGACGGGCCACGCCCACCGACCGCCTCGACGCCTTCCTGGCGCTCCAAGCCCCGCACAGTCAGCACGCGGCCGCAGAGCTCGCGAAGCGAGCGTTACTCCTCTACGCCGCCCACTCGGCAAGTTGTGCCAGACGTCATGGGGGCGCCGCCGACGCAGTAGAAACACTCGATCAATGCGTGCGCGAGGCGGCCGCCGGTCACCATCGCCTCCGTCGAGTACTGCTGCCACGTGGGCCCGGTAGCGCGCGGTCCCCGCAGTTTCAGTTTCCGCTGGCGACCCCGGTCCGACCAAAGTTTTTTCCGTCCGTAAGACTTCTCACGGCCAGAAAAAACCCCAGAGCGATGCGTTTCACTCCGAGCCCGTTTTCGACTTCGCGCAGGCGTGAGGGCGTCTGCCCTGGACTCGGCCGGAGTCGAAACTGTGCTCGAGTTTTCGCCCCCCGAGGGTGGACGCCGCCGTGTCGCCCTAGTCGGGGGTGCCAGCCCGTCGAAGTATTCCAGGGCTGAGCCGAAGCCGCTCGCAGTATACAGCTCTATGCGGAGCGTTTCTCCTCCCCTGTGTCCTCCCCCCCGTCTTTCCTCCCTCCTTTCTAGGTGGAGCGGCCAATCCAGCCGTGGATTGCCAATGGATGTCACGATGAGGCCACGCACCGAGTCCGTGACAGGAGACTCGCGGTGCGAAGGCCCAGCCGGCTATGTCCCGGCCGAGTGGCCGATAGTTTGCGTGCGCGGCAGTTCCTCCTCCTCCACCTTGCTCTTTTCCCTCCTCTTCTGTCGGCGTCGTTGGTCTTGTCCTCCTGTTTCTTCCTCTTGTGGATTGTGGCCGTTTTTTTCTTCCCCCAGCTATGGCTGGGCAGCCATAAGGGCTGCAAAAGGGGTATCATTTGACCTAAGACGTTATTGCGCGTTTGAGTCTGGCCGCCGTCTGTGACAGCGGATGACCTTCACGGGTGTTATGTGGTGCGTAGCTCCTCGCTGGCTATACGGTTTATATAGTACCGTGAGTTGTGAATGCATTGTTTGTCCGTCGAGGCCGTTCAATACGGGTCTGTCCAACAACAGCTTGGCAGGCCAGGGGCTGATACGTTGTTGGGCTAATTCGCATCTTTCGCCTTCTGGTTTCACTTGTCTCCTTCTCCTCCTCCTCGACCGCTCGCCCGGGCAATAATTGTCACAGGTAGCTGTTTTTGTTTGCGTCTGTTTGTCCAGGGGGGCAGGATTTGTTGGTTCGAGGCCGGCGCCTACAATTAGCAGCAACGTAATCGTGGCATGGCCCGTTCCCGTCTTCCCTCACTTGCGTTTCGGCAACGTTCGCAGGACAGGCATGCGACGGACTTTCAGTACATTGCCAGCACGCTTGGCGAGGCGAGTTGCGTACATGATCGCGGTCCGCTCCAAAAAAACATATATCTCAACAGAAACACCATATCTACGAATCTTCAAGTACCCATCCCCTTTCGCAAACCACTCCTGCTTGGCAGCCTTGGAACCCTCCCCGTATATACCCACAAAGAGCCTAGTTTTATTTGTTTGGGGGCTCCAGAAATTGAGTTGCATCCCGCGTGATGCAGTGGCCTCGCGGAGGACTGTACAAAGACGGCAGGTGGCAGCGCGAAGAGATTCATTATCTCTCCAGCAGGCAAGCGCTGTTAAATCATCGGCGTACGTGGCATCTGTGATCGCCCTGTGTTCTTTGTCCTGCTCGCCTGCAAACGGTCCCGAGACTTCGGGGAACTCGATGGCTAGGTTGGCTGCCTTCATCCTGACGTGGCTCTCTTCAAGTATTGGGGAAAAGGGAACAGGAAACGTTGAAAACCAGATCTCCCATGTTGCTTCAAGGGCGGGTTCCCATGAGAGTTCTGGCGATTTTCTCGCCCCCTCGGACCGCAAACCAAATGTCCTGGTGAATGTCCTGGAGAACAGCGATCAAATTGTGGTCCTTCGTACACTTCTCCAGTATGCCTGGCTCGCTGGTGAGTTTATCCATGACTGGCTGGAAAGCAAGAGGTATATCGACTGAGTCAATGATGCAATCTCAGCCTTCATACCTAACAAGTCCTTCTAGCACTAACTCGCGAACAACTTTGTAAAACACAGCTTTCAATTCGGTAAACACAACCAGGAAACTATGCTTTGGGGCCCTGGCCAACTTCATCGGGGTATGGACCATGTGTGAGGCCATGTCAGTCCCTTTCCCCTGGATGCCACCACATTGGGAAGTACGCAAAATATACTTGACGACCGTAGAGAGTCTGGTCCTGAGAAATCAGTGATGGCATTTCGCTATAGTCCTCATGAGCAGAATCTGTCACTAGCCTGAGGTGAGTGCAGGCTTCCCGTTCAATTTGTACAGATCAAAAGCAACCCCTCTTTTGAATGCTGCAGGCTCGTGCGCATGCAAGGTGGCTTTCACCAGAATCGGGTGAATGTGCCTTGCCATCTCCTGAGGGGCGCATCGCAGCACTTCGTTGAAAATCCTGTCGGGCCCAGCCGCCTTGCCGGTGTCAAGTCCTCCTCCTCCGCCTCCCCCTCCTCCTCCTCCCCCTCCTCCTCCTCCTCTGCCTCCTCCTCCTCCTCCTCCGCCTCCTCCGCCTCCTCCGCCTCCTCCTCCTGCCGCTGCCGCTGCCGGCCGCCGCCGCCAGCCGAGTTGGGCCCGAGTCCTGCTCGCGGGGCGCCCGGGGGCCTTCCGCGCGCCAGGGCGGGCGCCCGCGGGCCCAGGGCGCGGACCTCCCGGGGGGGGCCCCAGTGGGCCCGGGATGAAGGACGGCGCCGACCACCACGCAGTCGGGGTGGCCAGCCTTCTTCTTCCTCCACCTCTCGGCACGAACGAAATGGGTACGGAAAGAATGGGTACAATGCCCAACAGCAGTTCCTGTTCATTCTGAACAGGACTCGCTGTCCGCGCCGCCGCGGCCTGTGTCCGTTGGAGACAGAAGGCCGCCTGCCCAACAGCGGCCGCTGTTGGTTTGGAACAACATTTGTTGTTGGGCATTGTGCCCATTTTTTCCGTACCTGTGTCGGGCGTCCAAAACCTCGTCTTCTTCGCCCTCCCTTCTCCTTGGTGGCTGGGGTACCGTGTTCACATGTTCAGTGGCAGCGCGACCTGATCACAGCACCGGCAGATGCGTGAGAGAGGTGTCCGTGGGGCTGCGGAATGCAAGCACGCAGTCGGGGAGACCATCCTCCCTCGGGGGCTGCCCCTGGCCCAAGGTGTCCCCAGCTTTTTGGCGCCGTTCTGGAATCCCCTGGGGCCATCTGAGCCTCGTAATGGGAAAGAAGGAAGGAAGCAACACACCAGCTGGAGCTGGAGGCCTCGCAAAGTTCCGCGCAACTGGTGCAGCTTAAGAGTGACCACGCTGTCGCCGCCTCAGTCCCCCTGGGCGGGGTATCATGGAGACCACCTGGGCCTCCCCGGAAATTTGCGGGACACCTCGGGCCAAGGACACCCCTGCCAGAGCCCCACTGCTGATCGAGGATCGAGGATTGGGGTTCGACGATCGACGGGGCCGTCGGCGACCGACCCATGGCGAGAAGCCAGTCCGACAATGTCGGGGGTTTGGGTCCCGGGGCGGACGAAAGGTAAGGGCTGTATACTAGCCGGCCGCTCTGCGGTTGATCGGGAGTTTCTGTATATAGAAGAACGTGCGTGCGCTTGTTGGCGAGGGTGAGGACGAGGTTCCTCCTCCTCCTCCTCCTCCTCCTCCTCCTCCTCCTCCTCCTCCTCCATCCTTCTCTTGCCTCCGTCTGTCCTCCTCCGCCCCACAGCTCCATCATCTTCTCCTCCTCCTCCTCCTCCTCCTCCTCCTCCTCCTCCTCCTCCTCCTCCTCCTCCTCATTCTTCCTCTGGGCACCTCCCCCGGGGCGCGGATCCACCGGATCTGACCGGATCTGTGCGGAAACGGTGCCGGAGGCCGCTCTGGGCTCCTCTGGGCACCTCCCCCGGGGCCGGTTTTGTGAGGATGTCTCAAGCGAGGGCGCCGGTTTGGGATTCGTCGGCGGATCCAGCGGATCCAGCGGATCTGTCCGGAAACGGTGCCGGAGGCCGCTCTGGGCTCCTCTGGGCACCTCCCCCGGGGCCGGTTTTGTGAGGATGTCTCAAGCGAGGGCGCCGGTTTGGGATTCGTCGGCGGATCCACCGGATCGGATGTCCGGAAACGGTGCCGGAGGCCGCTCTGGGCTCCTCTGGGCACCTCCCCCGGGGCCGGTTTTGTGAGGATGTCTCGGACCCGGAAACGGTGCCGGAGGCCGCTCTGGGCTCCTCTGGGCACCTCCCCCGGGGCCGGTTTTGTGAGGATGTCTCAAGCGAGGGCGCCGGTTTGGGATTCGTCACCGGATCCAGCGGATCCGTCCGGAAACGGTGCCGGAGGCCGCTCTGGGCTCCTCTGGGCACCTCCCCCGGGGCCGGTTTTGTGAGGATGTCTCAAGCGAGGGCGCCGGTTTTGCGAGGATGATCTGAAGCCGGAGGGAGGGCCGGTTTGGGATTCGTCACCGGATCCAGCGGATCCGTCCGGAAACGGTGCCGGAGGCCGCTCTGGGCTCCTCTGGGCACCCCCCCGGGGCCGGTTTTGTGAGGATGTCTCAAGCGAGGGCGCCGGTTTGGGATTCGTCAGCGGATCCAGCGGATCCGTCCGGAAACGGTGCCGGAGGCCGCTCTGGGCTCCTCTGGGCACCTCCCCCGGGGCCCGTTTTGTGAGGATGTCTCAGCGAGGGCGCCGGTTTGGGATTCGTCACCGGATCCAGCGGATTCCGGCGGAAACGGTGCCGGAGGCCGCTCTGGGCTCCTCTGGGCACCTCCCCCGGGGCCGGTTTTGCGAGGATGTCTCAAGCGAGGGCGCCAGCGGATCCAGCGGATCCGTCCGGAAACGGTGCCGGAGGCCGCTCTGGGCTCCTCTGGGCTGGTCTTAGTGGTATCGAAGGTATCGTCTTGCCTGCCTGCACGGTTCGTCGTCGTCGTCGTCGTCGCCACTCCTCGCACGCTTCGTCGTGGCCCCGTAGCCTGAACCGTGGTTGCGCGCGTATACCGCCACGCCCATGTCGGCACACCCCTCACACGTCATCATGTATCCTTTTCAACGCAACGTTGCTCATCAACTTGTGCATTATCTTATCAGATTTTTTATCATCATCAAGCGCTGCGCAAGTTAACGATTTCATCCACCTCGCCATCGCCAGCGACAGCGAGCACGCGTGTGCAACTACGCAAACGTTGTTGCCACGTCATACGCGTACATTGCAACATGATCGACCCACGAACCCGGAAAGGAATATAGAAATGTAAGGCATTGCAACATTTCAAAGACACCTGATTGGGCGACGGCACATGCAATGCTGAGTGCATCGATGATGATGATGATGATGATGTACTGTGCCGAGGGCTGTGCTGTGCTACGCCGTGCTGAACTGCGATGTGCCATGCCGCGAGTGTGCTCTATATAGCGTTGTGGATCGAGTCCTCCCTGGCATTCGGGTCCTCACCGAACTGATCTGGAGCGTAAGCTCGAGCTGCCTCAGCACATAGTAGCTGCCCCAGAACTAATCGACAGAGGGAACATGCCAGGAGGACGCGCCGCGGAACGTCCCAAGGGACGCGCCAGGCGACGTGCCAGGGGACGTGCCATGGGGACGCACCGCGGGACGTGCCAAGGGGACGCGCTACGGAACGTGCCAATGGACGTGCCGAGGGACGTGCCAGGGGACGCGCCGCGCAACGTGCCAGGTGGACTCGCCACGGAACGCGCCAAGGAACGTGCCAAGGTGCATAGTTGAGTGTATCGATCTTGATGTACCGTGCCGACGGCTGTGCTGTGCTGGGCCGTGCTGAACTGCGATGTGCCATGCCGCGATTGTGCTCTATATAGCGTTGTGGATCGAGTCCTCCCTGGCATCCGAGTCCTCACCGAACTGATCTGGATCGTAAGCTCGAGCTGCCTGAGCAGATGGTAGCTGCCCCATAACCAATCGACAGAGGGAACATGCCAGGAGGACGCGCCGCGGAACGTCCCAAGGGACGCGCCAGGCGACGTGACAGGGGACGTGCCATGGGCACGCACCGCGGGACGTGCCAAGGGGACGCGCTACGGAACGTGCCAATGGACGTGCACCGCGCGACGTGCCAGGGGGACTCGCCACGGGACGCTCCGCGGAACGTGCCAGGCAACATGCCAGGCTGCAATGCTAAGGGTATCGATGTTGATGTACCGTACCGAGGGCTGTGCTGTGCCTGGGCGACCTGGACATGTGAAAACACGCGTTTCGCTCAAGACGTTGTCAGCACATCCTCATGCTAGACATCAGCCTGGGCAACCTGGACACGTGCAAACAAGCGTCTCGCTCGAGACATCCTCAACAAATGCTCATGCTAGACATCCGCCTGGGCGACCTGGACACGTGAAAATAAGCCTCTGGTTCGAGACATCCTCAACAAATCCTCATGCTAGACATCTGTCTGGGCCACCTGGAGGCGTGAAACCAAGCGTCTCGCTCGAGACATCCTCAAGACCTGGGCACGTGAAAACAAGCAATCCACTTGAGAGATCCTCAGAATTCAGGTCCCCAGGAGAGGACAATCTACAACACAAAACAAGCGTTTCGCTCGAGACATCCTCAATAAATTCTGAAAAACAAGCGTTTCGCTAGGGACATCCTCAAATTTTAATTCGCCGGCCCTCTTCCCACTCGTTATTTATCGCAAAAGAAATTCGCCGGCCCTCTTCCCGTCAAACCCGGGGGGAAACCATCTAAAAGAGAACCCTGGGCTCAAGCCCTTTCCGGGAAAAAAACGCGTAGGCATGCGCGGCCTCTCCCGACACGGCACGCACCATCATCATTACCATTGGGGTTTTACCCATGGGGTTTAAGTGAAACATAGGGGCCTTAAGTGAAACAAAATGAAACAAGGGGGACGTGGTTCCACCACGTTTATATGTGGATTGCAGGGGGAACGTGGTTCCACCACGTTTTTATGTGGATCGCAGGGGGTACGATCGCGTCGTGGTCGTGGTCGTCGTCGTCGTCCTTGACGTCGTCGTCTCCCCCTGTGGCCGAACCAGCCGACCTCATCGTCGTGGTCGTCGTAGTGCTCATCGTTGTCATCTACGTCGTCGTCGTCGTCGTCGTCGTCGTCGTCGTCGTCGTCGTCGTCGTCTCCTCCCCCCCTCCTCCCCCCCTCCTCCCCTCGCCGGCAGGGCCCCCCCCGTGCAGGTCGCCGTCGTCGACGACGACCTGCGCCGCCGCGTCGACCACCTGCCGGAGGCGGGGGCGGCGCCCGCGCGAGGGGGAGGAGGATAAGTGGGAGGAGGAGGGGGGAAGGGAGGCTCTTGGAGTCACAGCTTGTTGGAGGATGAGTAGGAGGAGGAGGAGGTGAGGGGAGGGGGAGGAGGCGAAGACAGGAGGGGCGAGGGGAGGAGGGTGAGGGAGGGGGGGGAGGGTTAGGGAGGGTGAGGGAGGGTGAGGGGAAGGGGGGAGGCTGAGGAGGGGGAGGGTGAGGGGAGGGGGGGAGGGTGAGGGAGGGTGACCAGGGGCGAAGAGGTTATCCCACCAGCCCTCTGGGCGTAGGTGGTTTAACAGTACGTGGTGTTGGATGGACTGTTGGGGAGACGGAGGGGTTAGAGCGTCCAAGATGGCCCAAGATGGCTCCAAGAGGCCCTCCGAGAGCCCAAGATGGCGCACGATAGCTCAAGATGGCTCAAGATAATCTCCGACGTACCTCCAAGAGGCCCCGAGACGGCCCCGAGACGAATTCAAGTGCCCACCGAGCCCTCCAAGGACCCCTCTGAGAGGCCCAAATGGC